GCACCTCTGGCTGGAGAGGAGTGAGGGATAAGGGGAGTAGACTGACTGGGGCCTGCTTTCTCCTTATGCCTTCAGAATTTGAGATGAATTGCTGAAGGGCTTCTCTTACTGAATTCTCCTCAGAGGAGTCCTCATTCCAGGGGTAGCAGAACCAGAAGACAAAGGAAAGAGAAAACCAAGAAATCTTGCCCTTAGCACGGTAAGAGGAGGGCAAAGGAAGGAAGGGAAAGAGAAGCAGTATTGGGATTTCCAGACTGTCCCCGAACGCGAGTCATTTGCTGTGAGACCACGCAAAAAATGCAGGCCAGACAGACCCTGGGAAACCACGCAGGTTTCTGCAAGCAGCAGGCCCATGTCAAAACTGTGAAGCAGAAGAAGTTTGCCGTTACTGACCTCGACCTGCATATTCTGTACCAAATTTCCCAGGCATGAATTTCCTTTTTATAATCAGGAAAAAAATTTTTTTTAAAGGTCCTTATATTTAGAAAGTTACTCTTCTCTCTATTACTACAGTTCATAGTGGGAGACTACAGCAAATGACATATTATAGCGCTGGGGCAATGACCACTAACTCTTATTTCTCCATACTCATAAAGGAGCAGTGACAAGCAGAAATCTAAAACTTGCTTCTACACTGAACCTGAACATAATTCTTTTCTTTTTAAACTGCGAAGCAGACGTTTGCATTTATGGCCCCAGCCTACCTATTCTGTACCCACTCCCTTCCCTTGGCAACGTCCCACTTACTACATTGCACCCCCCTCCCTGCTCAGCACCGCAGAGGAATACACATAATATACGTTGTTGGTCTTTTCTCTTTGCAAATCTGTTCCAAGGAATAAACTCTGAATGAAATTCAGTCACACTGAGATGAAAATGACAGATAATAGCTTAAAGTGTACATCAGGGATATTTGCACAGTCGATACATTCCTTCTTTAGCAAATATTTATCAGGTGTCTATTAGGTACCAGGAACTTTTCTAGGTTCTGGGGATACCACAGGGAATAAGAAAGATGTGGTCTAAGCTCCTATGAAGTCTGTATAGTTGCTGGAGAGGCACATAGAAGACAAGTATGCAATAAGAGGATTTTGAATAGTGAGAAGTGCTGTAGAGGTAATAAAATGATGTGAAAGGAATGACTGGGAGGTGATGGGGGGGACAAGGTTCGATGGCTAGTTAGGGGAGGACCTCTTTGAAGAAATATCATCTAAACTGAGACTTGCATGACAAGGAGCCAGTTGTCATGGCAGAATCTGGAGGTCTCGGCTGAGGGAAGAGAAAGGCAAGGGCCCTGCAGTGGGATCAAGGCTGACGTGTTCCAGGAGCAGAAGACAGCAGGGCCTGGGGGTGGAGAGGAGTGGGCTTAGTGATAGGCGACAGAGGCTGTGGCCAGATTCTGTAAGGTCTCCAAGGCCAAGGTGATGCTTGGGTTTAATCCACATGCCTTTGAAGGATGTGAAGCAAAAGAGGGATGTGATGAGAGTTGCACGTTAAAATGATCACTCTGGTTTCCCTGTGGGAACTGGGTTACAGCAGGGCGAGGGTGGAACAGGAAGCCACCTGGGATTGTTGGTGTAACCCAAGCAAGAGATGAGGGCTGGGTTAGGCTGGGTGATTAGTGGAAATGGAGAGAACTGAATGGACTTGGGAGTAGTTTAGAGGCAGGGTTAAAAGTTTGAGGAAGGTGCAGTATTGGCTCAGGGTTTATGTCCTTTCCTCATTTTCAGTTGAAATGGATGTTTTTAGGGCATATAAGCTAATTTACCTTTTGACTTAATCAAAATATGGCAAGAGCTGATTTAGCTAGCATTCTTTTTACTGGAATTTTCCATTAATGAAGAAATTCAGTATGTTTAGAATGATAATTATTATATTTGGCATCCTATGGTCATTATTAAAACCTAAAATGCCTTTTAAAAACATTGCAATATTAAATCATATTCAACAGAGTTTATAATGTTCAAATCCTTTAAAACCAATTATCTCTGTATTGTATACTTTATCAGAATTTCTAACTAATCAGAATGTTCTTTTCCCCAACTAAACCACTTAATTATTCTGCAGTTCACGGTAGAAGCAATTTTTAGATTATGCGTATCACTGCTCCCTTATGAGTATGAAGAAATAAGTTAGTGGTGCTATTTGCACTTTAAAAAAAGATAAGTAAAAACCACAAAATGTCTAATGTGATTATCTATGGATGGTGGGATTATGTGTGATTTGTTTCTTCTTTCTTCTGTTTTCCAAGTTTCCTACAATAACATGAATTACTTTTAAAACATAAAAGTTATATTTCCAAAAAAAAGTTTATTATATTTAGAAACTCACTACTCTCTTTATTACTACAGTTCATAGTGGGAAACGATAACAAATGACATAGCTATAGGCCATGTTTCAAGTTTTTTTTCCTTTTTAAAAAATAGATTTACTGGAAACTTCCAGGATTTTTAAGCACGGTTATGGATGCCCTGAGGAAAGACGAACTAGTCTTCCCCAGTGATGAAAAGTAACTTAATGACGTAAAGATGTCCATTATTACTATATCTATAGGATTCTGGTGGGTAATTATCATGTGACTTATTGAATGGGGAGATGACCAGTCTGAATGAGTAGATGAGAATTCTTAGATGGGCACTAGGATTTGGGGTAAGGTATCTACAGTATCTACAAATTTTTAGTATTTGGTATTATCCTTATGTCTAATTTAATGACTTTACCGATTCAGTACTTTCTCTGAAGTTATAAAGGGAGTTGTAGGTTTAGGGTGTTTCAGGACCCTTTAAAGGTCCTGTACGGTCTAACCTAGCATTCCTTGGAGGAATCTCTGAGTTCTAGGTCTTATTCCCTATGTAACCAAAATCCATACACCGTCCAGCCGAATAACCCAACAGCAAGTCCAGTGACGAGAATCTGGCAAGTCAGCCTCTCACAGTTGGAGAATCTCGAGTGCCTACAAATAGGCAGTCGTTATCAGTATTTTTTCTATTTCAGCACACTTGAGGGATCTAACATCCTCAGGAGTAACAGCGAGTCACTGTGGCAGGGGTGGATGGTATCAGAATTTGGAAGGGGACAGGGAAGTACTATTAGTCATCCTTCATGTCATAGCCTTTTCGAATTACCAGATAGGAAGTTGACCAGGAGGCTAATCAAACCTATTGATCTCATGTCCATCCTGTACATTTATGGGGAAATGTAAACAAATTGCTACAAAGCGTTCTCCTTGGTCCTGTGGTAGTTCTTGTTATTTTTTGGTTTGACTTACTTTGTTTTCGTTTAATTAAAACATTCCAGGTATTATGAAATAAGGCAGAATGAGGAAAAGGTGAGGTTCTGCTAATTCTGTACAAATTCAATGTTTTTGTTCCTTATTTTCAAAAATCACATAGGAATAAATTAAATCAAATAAGCTAAGTAAATTGTATGAGTAAACAGAAGAATCTTGCCTGGAGGAAAAAAAAGTCACTATATGAAGCTTATTATATATGAAGTTGTATTTCCTGGGAGGGATGGAAAGAGCATTCCTTTATTTTGGGCAAACCTCATGTTTTGCTAAAGCCTTAACTTAGAAGAGGAGAACTCTCAATGTATATTTCTTGAACTGAAAGCTTTTCTTCCACTTGTTCCTAGTGTTAAATTCCTGTCTTCTCCCCTTCTTATCATACATGGTGAGGATGACAAAACGGTGCCTTTGGAATTTGGAAAAAAAGGTAAACTAAGTTCAGCGGCTGACATAAACATACTATACTAATTTCACCATTTTCTCAGCCAGCCAAACTTTGATTAGGGCCTAAAGAAGGGTCTCTGACATTATAAGGGGTTCTCTGCACCCCTGAACTGCTGTGCCGCCTGGTGTATACAATACACTGTTGCCACTGTTCCATGAGCTATGCAGCTTTCAGTTCCTTGGTTGTAGAGGCAACCACTCAGGGATATGCAGGGTGCCCATATCTCTGACTTAATGGGACTAACTCCCTAAGTTGGCTGTTTCCATACCCTTTTAGGAAAATTCGACTAGGAAAACAACTGCTTCAATGATCAGCCTTTGAGTCCTTGTCTTTCTGCCCCTTGCAGCTCTATGAAACTGCACACAATGCATATAGGAACAAAGAGAGGGTGAAGATGGTGATCTTTCCTCCTGGCCTCCAACACACCTTCCTGTGTAAAGGCACCACACTGTTAAAAACCGTGAGGTAAGATCTGCTTTGCTAAATGCAATGGGGGCTGCTCTGGTTTACTTAGACCATGAGGTGGGGAACGCATGTGAGCTCATCTAAGTCCTTTTCCTGCAGAGGTTTCCTGAGCCAGCAGTGGGCGTGAGGTCTGAGTACAGCGGAGAGCGAAGACTTGGTCCAAACACCACTTGTGGTGTATCTTTCTTATGTAAAACTGGGCTGCTTGGGTGAGCTGACGTTACTGACATTTCTACAAGTCACTTGCCATTTTAGTAAGGGAAAGCACGGATGCTGGGCATTATGGAATGTCCTTGTTTAGCTTGTCATAGTCTACTTTGTGGAACATGCCAAAACTTCACTGTGGAGAATCAGAATTTGGTAAAAATTTGATCCCATCTAAAAATGTACAGTTACCAAACATTCTGGGGATATCTGTGGATAAGGTGGTTTTTGATTTGCACCTAGACAGCAAGCAGTAGCAAGAAAGATGCTCCAATGTAGTTAAATAATTTGTATTTCAGTTTAGTTAATTTAAATGGCATTAAAAAGTTCCAAGCTGTTTTCTAGCCTTCTGAATAGCACTAGGGAAAGTCTTAGCACGCTATTCAATCTGCTATAAAATAGTAAGATTCGGCACTCATGTAGCCTTTGGAAATTAACACTGTATTTTTAGCCCTAATATAGTCATACATTTTCCCTCCCAATTCCCAGAGATACTTAACTAGATTATTATTTAATAAAACAAAACAAAATCAAAGAATGTTGTGAAAATGTTGAAGTCCAGTAAGAAGCTATTTTTTCTCAGGACATTTTACAACTTACTTTCCATTGGCTTTGTCCACCCCACTGCTGGGTTCACTGGACAGGGAAATCTTTAGGTCAGAAGGCTCCATGTTCCAGATGTCCCGGGCATACTCCTTAATTGTTCGGTCACTGGAGAATTTCCCTGAGGCGGCTATGTTTCTGAGTACCATGATGTTCCAGGCCTTTGGATTCTGTAAACAAGAATTATACTTGTTTAATTGAATTAAATTAAATTGACGTGCATCTAAGGCTCAGGGCCTGAGTGCCCAACAAGCTGTATGACAAACATCAGGCCAAGCACATCCAAGTACAATTTATGGGGAAAGTGACAGGAGTAAATTGTAATGAATCATAAATACATTTGTTCCACAGTTGGGAGCTGGACAGGGCAGACTGTGCTTTTCTCCTATTTTAGATTATATTTCTCTAAAATGAAAAAGAAAGTATTTTTCACTCTTACAGAAAACCTAATTGGTAATTTCTGCCATAGTTACAATGTTTTGGCATGTAAGCCTTATTTCCCATGCTTCATTTTGAACGAAGATACCTCATCTCCCTTTAAACTACGGGGGAAAGGAAGAGACTAACGTTCATTGTCTGCTAGATGCCACGTAAGAAATTTATCCCGTGGCTCACAGCCAGAGCTCGAAAAACACTACTCTAGAACATTAGCTAACATGCAGGCAAACAGTCCCATGGGAGACTTTATTCACCGACTTCTCTTTTCCTGTTTTTTTTCAGAAGGTAGATACTCCAATAGGTTTACACTGAATCCCAAATACTCCACTGGGGTTTGAAAACAGGACCAATTAAGGTTTTATCCTAAATAAAAAATATACATCTATATATCTAAATAAAATATATATCTCTCATAATTTTATGTAAAAAGTATAAGAAGCTATTTATTTTTTATTAACATCTTTATTGGAGTATAATTGCTTTACAGTGTTGTGTTAGTTTCTGCTGTACAACAAAGTGAATCAGCTGTATGCATATGTATATCCCTACATCCCCTCCCTTTTGGTGGGTCTCCCTCCCACCCTCCTTATCCCACCCCTCTAGGTGGGTCGCAAAGCACCGAGCTGATCTCCCTGTGCTATGCAGCTGAGCATCTACTTAGAGCCTCGTGATTCCGTAAAGAACTCTAAGAAGGAGTTCTATGGAAATGACCAGAATGTTATTTGAAAACAATCAGCAATGAATTACAAACATTTAAAAGAAAAACTAAAACACAGTCTGAAATTAGTTTATTCAGACTTTGGAAACTTACTAAAATAAGAAGAGAATAAAAGCTTTCTCTCTTCACGTTCTTTATTTAAAGGGATAATGACTAGACTTTCCAACCATGTGGGCCATGTTTTCTACGCTTCAACAATACAATTATTGTTAAGAGTAAAAGCTGCAGTTTGCACTAATGAACAAGGAAGATGGAACAGAATGCTGGCCTTCTAGGTGGGCATCCTTTGGATCAGGGCCATCGTTTCAACAGAAGGGACCATTGTGCAAAACCAACATGCACATTGGTGCATGCCCTCACTCATATTTTCCTCTCCTGCTCTGTTTCACTTCTGTTTCTTTTCCTATACAGCTTTTCTACATAACAAGCATGGGTTGAGATCAAGAGGAAGGAGCTAGAGGGGGCCATTTTCTTTCCTCTGAGTTCTTGGAGGCTGTATGTGGCTGCTCTCTCCAGTGTTCAGGGAGCAGGAAGTGAGCCACTCTGCTTAAATCTAGCACTGCCTCTCCTTGGGAAGTATATAAAACTCTGGTTTATATACACTTTTGGGGGGCTGGATATGCTGTAAAGCAGCACAGGCCTTGAGTGATCCTGTTTTAAAACCCCAAAGGGATATCTGGGATGACTATGGGAACTACCTTGTCACCTGGCTTTGGGAAAGGAATAGAAAGAAATGTTAGCACAGTATGTTTCTCTCGGAAATAGTGACTGATGTGTCCAGAGGGCAGGAGGTGGAGAGTTTATGCGTTCCCAATGGTCTGGTCTATAATGGCTTTCTAGTTGGAAAGCCAAAATGGAGACTGTGTGGGCAAGGACGGCTACCTCAAGAAGCCCAAGCTGGAGTCTTAGCACAGGGCCAGCCTCCTCCTGTATCTGTTCTTCTGTGGTTTCTGCAGTTCCCTACAAGTCTTTCCTATCAGAGATGATCGCCTTTCCATATATTTACTAAATGTACCTAGAGGGCTGGGCTTTTTGGTAAAGATGTATGACTTTGCACATGAAGGGTTACTCACGTGGCTCTAGCCCCTTTCTTTCCTTTTTCTCTCTCTCTCCCTTTCCTTCCTTTCCTTTTCTTTTCTTTCTTTCTTTCCTTCTTTCCTCCCTCCCTCTCTCTCTCTCTTTCTTTGTTTCATTCCTTTTTCTTTTTCTTTTTTTTAAATTCCAATGTGAAACCTCCCCTCTTTCTATACATTTATATTCTATTCATATAGCACCACTCCATGGGTAATCCAGGAGAGGAACTTACTTTACAATTTTCAAATACTAGGGGGGTCAGTCCTTTCCCGATAAACGAAGGTTCAGCCTTAGAATCAATTTAGCAGATTTTTCTTTTTCTTTTTTTTTTTTTTTACATCTTTATTGGAGTATAATTGCTTTACAATGGTGTGTTAGTTTCTGCTTTATAACAAAGTGAATCAGTTATACATATACATATGTTCCCATATCGCTTCCCTCTTGCGTCTCCCTCCCTCCCACCCTCCCTATCCCACCCCTCCAGGTGGTCACAAAGCACCGAGCTGATCTCCCTGTGCTATGCGGCTGCTTCCCACTAGCTATCTACCTTACGTTTGGTAGTGTATATATGTCCATGCCTCTCTCGCGCTTTGTCACAGCTTACCCTTCCCCCTCCCCATATCCTCAAGTCCATTCTCTAGTAGGTCTGTGTCTTTATTCCTGCCTTACCCCTAGGTTCTTCATGACATTTTTTTTTCTTAAATTCCATATATATGTGTTAGCATACAGTATTTGTCTTTCTCTTTCTGACTTACTTCACTCTGTATGACAGACTCTAGGTCTATCCACCTCATTACGAATAGCTCAATTTCGTTTCTTTTTATGGCTGAGTAATATTCCATTGTATATGTGCCACATCTTCTTTATCCATTCATCCGATGATGGACACCTAGGTTGTTTCCATCTCCGGGCAATTGAGCAGATTTTTCAAATGCTGATGGTGGTCCCACCCGCTACTGGGTCAGAATCTCTTAGAGGGCGGTGGGCATCTGTACTTTGAAAAAACTGCTTGGTGATTCTGATGCACTTCTGGTTAAGGGCCCCAGCCCTAAATAGGCTCCTGGAGGGGCCTTGGCTTTGTCCATGCTGGGGCCTCAGTGCCCAGCATGGCCTGCCATGGAGGCACCCAATGCCCCAGTGCCTCTCTGTTGAATAAATGAGTGGGTAAAGTGAGTATTTAATTTCGCTTTATACTCTTAGTCTCTAGGATATGCCTGCTGCATGGTGGGTGCTCAATAAATATTGAATTATTTGTGACTTTTTACTTGGATATTAAAAAACCTACAACTGCAACTGAAATGTCAAATGCCAACCTTTGCCTGAATTTGGGTACAGTTAAGTTTTGATCTGAAAAACCTAAAGAGCTGCCTCACTTCCCATTTTTGATTGGTTGGTGGGGCCCTGTTATTTAGATTTAATAAAAAGAAACCAAAATTTTAATGAACCGTAAACTGGTTTCCTTTGTAAGTCTCGGCCATGTACTCACCATGTACAGCTGACTGACTTTTTCTTGACACTTGACGTAGGCTTCATAGTCTGCAAAAACTTTAAACCTTTTTTTGTGATTAGAAGGAAAAGACAAAAAGCTTCATTAATAGATGTGTGCTAAGATTCCATTTAAAATTCTCTTTTGCTTAATGTCAGGCATGGCTGGCTTACCAGTCTGACACTTCTATTCACAAGGGTTTCAACCAGCCCTCAACCTTTCTTCCCACACGTGAGAATGTTATCACACGGATGCATCTGAAAGTTGGGTACACCCGTGGAAGGAGAAAAAGAATACCAAATTTGTGGGTCTTATTCTTAAGTCTTCTCCTTGCATTGTTAGTGGAGAATATCTAATTTTCCTTTCCAAGTCTACGTTAGCTTATTAGATCACAGATCTATGCTAATCTACATGTGTTGCAGTTGGTTTAAGATATTCTCATCCCCTTTCCACGGCCCAAACAGCACCATCTTCTTGTGGGAACTCACCTGTCATGATAAAATAGCATGTTGACTAAGTCTTTGAAGAGGTCAGGCTGCTTGGGAGAAAAGAAGCCCTTGTCAATTTGGTCGATGGCCAGCTTTAGCTCTGGAAGTGCCTCGTAATATTCTTTTGCCTTATACCTGTAGGGTCGGGGCGGGGGATAAGAAAAGGTTCTGTTAATGTTTGTTAATGACACACTGGACGCTACATTAGCTGTGAAAAATGCATTCAGAAATATGGCATTTATAAAGTCATTATAGAGTTCAACAGGGTATAAATAATACTTAACTAGATCCTGACATCTTTTTTCCCAACTAAATTTGATTAGTTCCTTGTAACCAAAGACACTAAGGACAGTAGATAATAAAAATCCTAGTCACAGAGCAATAGTCTAATCCGGTAAAATACAGTAAGATTCATTTCAAAGCAGGCTTTATGGCTCTAAACAAGCGTCGTACAGTTGCTTTTTTTAAAAAAGATTTATTCTTTCTTTCTTTCTTTAATTTATTTTTGGCTGCGTCGGCTCTTAGTTGCGGCACGCGGGATCTTTCATTGTGGCCTGTGGGCTTCTCTCTAGTGTGGAGGCGGGTTTTCTCTTCTCCAGCTGTGGTGTGCAGGCTCCAGGGCGCTTGGGCTCTATAGTTGTGGTGCACGGGTTCCAGAGCTCGTGGTCTCTGTAGTTTGCAGCACACGGGCTCAGCAGTTGTGGCGCGCGGGCTTAGTTGCCCCACAGCATGTGGGATCTTAGTCCCCTGACCAGGGATCGAACCCGCATCCCCTGCATTGTAAGGCGGATTCTTTACCACTGGACCACCAGGGAGGTCCCCGACAGTTGCTCTTTGGTCCCACAGATTCCCAAATTTGTTGCTACTGAACAAAAGTTTACTTCCAAGGGTTGGGAAGTATATTCGACACCCTCCAGATTTTGTGATTGCTCTGGCTCCTTTGAGCAGCATCTTTCTTTACTTCTTACTTGAATCCAGGTTAATAAACGTATCCAGATAGTAAGTGGAACAAGTATCCTGGGTGCTTCTATACAACCAGGCCTATCATCTACCACATTTTAGTCCATCTCTTTGAGGTCTTAAAGGAACACTAGATGGTTTAAATAATAGGCAAAAACTTCAACTACACACTGGTTCAGTGTTTTGATCAAAGTAGAGATCACAGATGTGGAGAAGTGAACAGCTCATGAGGCCAGCTCTGCCATGGCTGATAACAAATAGCAACGAGCCCACGTACCTGTGCCCAAGCTCCGTTCACTTTCACTTGCTGCGTGTAACAAGACTAATCTGTGGTCAGGAGGGTCCCCTGACTCATGGGAGATGTTCTGCTGTCACTCTCATGGGACCTGCCTCAATGGGACACCTGGGTGGGCAGGTACCCTCCTGGGGGGATACCTGCTCAACAAGCAGGAGTGCTCTCTCACCCTTTCTTGTCCAAAGCAGCCACGTCCTCTATTCTCATGCCAAAGATGAACAGGTTCTCTTCCCCGGCTTCCTCGGCCATTTCCACGTTGGCCCCATCCATGGTCCCGATAGTCAGGGCCCCGTTCAGCATGAACTTCATGTTGCCCGTCCCCGAGGCTTCGGTGCCTGCAGTAGAAATCTGCTCCGACAGATCTGTGGCTGGAATGACTGCAAGCAAGGCATTAGTGACAGAATTAGTGATCCTGTCTCTCTGGATCCGCTTGTACGGTACCCAAGCATTCACCTAGCTGGCCTGTTCTAATCATTAAAGTAGTATGTGTACATCAAGATAAACATTCAAATGGTGCAGGATGGATCTCACGCTTCCCCTTGACTCTGGCAACCACTTTTGCCCCTTTCTGATGTGCTTCTTGGTGGTTATGGCCACAGTGCTGAATAACTCTATGCTTACACTACTCTTCCTTGGTCTATAAACGTTAAAGAGCATCTATTGACTCTCTGCTATAAAAGTCGACGCTACTGTGAAGTAAAATTCCTATTTTATGGCCAGACAAGAAAAAGTTAAACATGAAAATTTTTCCCTGCCCTTTGGCCTCCTCTCTCCCTTCTCCTGTGCATTGTGTATCTGCATTAGGCATGGACCAAACTTCCCCATCAGCAGAAATATCTACTCAGCCATAAAGAGCAACGTTCTCCTGGCACCAACAAGACAACTCCTTAAAAGACAACATTCCTCCTTGATCTTGCAAGGGGTCACAATGACCCACCACTTTGTACCTGAAGATCTGGATTCTGTAAACTGTCAACAATACAGCATTTAATGGAGAGCCCCGTCTCGAAAAACTTATATAACTGCTTTGACTTCTAATGGGTGGAACAGTTCTTGGAACTTTCTGATCTGCTGTTCCTGGGTTATAATCCTCAGTTTGGCTCAAATAAAATTTTCCATTTCTTTCTTGGATGGGCTGATTAATTTTTTATCAACCTTACACTTCTCTTCTCCCCCTTCTTCCTTTCAGTTTTTGTTATGGTTTTATTTTTATTTCTTCTATTTCATAACTTTATAAAATATATCTAAACTTCTCTTTCTTGATCCTTAAGATTCAGAATCTTCCCTGACCCCTCTTTTGCAATCTGAGGAAACTGGATTGTGCCATTCCTTCCACCCCTTACCACCTTCCTTCCGCTTTCACTGCAGGGAAATAAACCACAGGCAACTGAGGTGTGCCCAGGGCAGACCTTTCAGTCTGATTCACACAGAAGTTCCTGCTGCCTGCAGCATCCCTCCGGTGCCTCCGCTACAAAGCACAGGACCTGTTTTACTTTGAGAGCTTTACTTTGGGAGCTTATTTGTGGATTAGACATATCTTCATTTGCGCCCATAAAAATCTGGCTCTTTTTTTCTTTATGCAGACAGTTCTTAAATTGTAACATCAGAGGACCCAAAAACACCTCAGAAAGAGAAAGGTCCCTTTTCAATTTGGGAAAAGGGCGAACACACAGTTGGCATTTGCATGTGGGTGGTGCTTTGTGACGCAAATAAGAAAAGAAAGGGATGTTGGCTTCTTGCCAGTCTGCCTGTCCCCACATGGGAACTCCACGCCTGCTCTGAGCGCCTGTCTGAGGCACGTCTAAGCCTAGGGCTTTGGCAGCCTGACATCTGCCCTCATTCCCTGCTGCCACATGAACAAATGACAGCCCTTCTTTCCATGGAGTGACCAGAGGAATATCCGGGGATTGGGGCACTGGTGTTCTATTGCAGAACTGGGGCTGGGAACTGAAGATCTTTTTTTTCTTTTGTAGAGCATGCTCTGTACTTTACCAAAACCTCAGGGCCACCTCCTCCAACACCCAGCCCTGAGCAGCTGAGAAGAGGAAAATGTGCTTGCAGATGTAACCTCTGATGTGGAGTCTGGGGACAGTCATCTCAGTGTCATTTGGGTCACCTTAAACATTCTTAGCTTAGGGTCGTATTCTGCCTAAGAGTGACACCTTCTATCCTAAGTCACTGGCTCCCGAGGTCAGCTGCTCCATTCTTCTATAATGTGTAATCCATCCCTAGCATGTGCCCTGGCCCCGCATGGTTTGTGAGGACAGCACTACCTTTTTCAGCAAGAGACACTTTGTAGTTCTCCAGGAAGATGAGTTTCAACTTGCTTCCAACCATGGGGTCATTGTTCACCACCTCTGCCACTGAAGTGATCAGCTTTATGATCAGTTTGGCCATGTGATATCCTGGGGCAGCCTTGGGGAAGGGTGTGGACACATGACAGAATGCAGGCATGATGAAGTGGAGAAACGGCCAAAGAGACAAGAGCCCCCAAGTACCCAGGGAAGAGAAGCAACTTACTTTGCCACCGATTATAACTGTTCTGGGCACGAATAGCTTCTTCGGGTCTTTCTTAATGCCTGCAAAAGATGGAGAAGGGGATGGAACGGAGGACGGAGGACGGCCAGGGTGGTGTGCGCTCCACCTCTGGGGGCTGGTCGGGGGCTGCAGGGCTGACTCACGGTTGTACATGGTGACCACATGCAGGCAGTTCAGGAGCTGCCGCTTGTACTCATGGATCCTCTTCACCTGCACGTCAAACATGGAGGATGGGTTGATCTTCACTTTGTACTCCTTCTCCAGGAACTGAGAAAACTTCAGCTTGTTCTCCTGTTGAGACAGTGCATGGGGCCAGGGCCCTTTGGACTCAGAAGCATTGGGTGGGTGGTCTGTTTTTAAAGAGTGGGGCATGAACCCTCCAAGCAAGTGCCGCCGGGCGAAGCACCCACACCGGGAAGCCTCACCTGCTTCACGTTGGAAATCTCCCGGAGGAAGACGTCGTCGCCCAGGAAGCTGTTCAGCTTCGCCAGCTGGCTCAAGTCCTTCACACAGTCCTCCCCGATTTTCTTTCAGTTTAAAGGAAAAGGTGACTCGAATCAGGGAAGGCAGTCAAGCCCACATGAGCAGTTTCTGTCAGTCTGTGGCAAGGGCTCACATGCCCCTAACACTCACACCCCACAGCACACGGAATGGCTTCATTCACAGGAGATGCTGAAAACACCATGTGGGAAGAACACTTGCTATACCTTCAGTGGTATTAAGTGTTAAAAACAGGAAATCTACCTAAAAAGGGTGACAAATAACCCAGGTTCTACTAGTTACTATTAGAGGACAAAGGTCCTGTTAGAGGATGTCTGTTATCCTCTTTTATTAAACAGGGGTACCATCTGTGTGTCGTATGAGCACTGTTCACCAGGGCCAGCTGCGTAATGCGTGGGGTCTCCTTTTTCTGAAATCAAGAATTTCAAGCTGGCTACGGCGGAGAATGAAACCAGTGTGGAGCCCTGTGGGGTTGCACAGGCCACTGGCTTGGGGATGAAGCAGGCCCTGCTGCAGACTGGATTTGCAAGTTATAAGCGCACTCTCTGCCTCTTGAATTCTAGTCAGAAACCCCCTTTCCCTCGGCACTTCCCGGTTACCTCTGCTATTAACTCTGCCAGTCCTGGGTTGCAGAGTAACAGCCAGCGCCTTGGAGTGATCCCATTGGTTTTATTCTGAAACTTGTCTGGCTCTAGCTCACTGAAGTCCTTGAATCTGGAGATGGAAGAGACACATCACTAAACGTGGCTGGAACGGCAGGTTCCCGCATGCTGGATGTAGTTCAGGGTTAGATCTAAGGAGCAGAGTGTAGGCTTAGAAAGGTTAAATAAAAGTGGAGAGAGGGGCTGACAGCAGCTATGGGTGTCATTCTAAATAGAAATCCATTTGCAATTCAAAATAATTACAAGAAAAAATCCAATCTAATCACCTTCATATGATTTCCCGGCACGGACATATATATCAGACTTTTGAGCAGAAGAGTTTTGTTTTTTTTCTTGTAAGTCTAGAATTAGGACTGTTCAGAGAGGAAGGCCTTTTCCTTTTAGAGAAGGGTTCTTTGTATAGAAGACATTACTTTTAAATATTTCACGGGGCCTTTCCTCATCTCCAACCGCACCCCTGCATTCGCTAGCACCGTTCTATTCCTGAGCAATGTGAGACCCACTGCGACAGGGGTGGAGGCTCACACTTGGTTCTTCACGATGTCTGAGTGGATTTTAGCCACGCCGTTCACAGCATGGGAGCCCACAATGCAGAGATGGGCCATGTTGATCCTTTTGCCTCCTTCCTCTTCTATCAGAGACATCCTTCTCAGGCGGTCGACATCTTTAGGAAACAAGGCGGCAATTTTCTAGGCAAAGGAAGAGAAAGGCCTTACTGGTCACTCAGGTTTCCAGCAACCCTGGGATAACGTCATTCACTTCCCAACCAAAACCTTTGATGGAGCAAAGGTAAGACGTCACTCCCACAGAGAGGAGTGAAGATGCCTAGGGAGATGCCATCCCTCCAGGTTAGTATTTTCAAAAGGATGTCATTAACAGAGCCCCACCCGGACTTGAGTGCTTTTGATGTATCAATGAAAGATATGATACATTGAATGATATGATACAATGAATGATACATTGATGTATCAATGACTGAAAGATGGGCCTCAGGTTTGGTAAGAGGGAAGACTGCAGCCACCCTTAACATCTCTAGACCTCCTTCTCAAAAGGGTTATGAATCTGTCAAAGTGACTTACATCTAAATGCTTTTGATTCATCTCGTAAATGATTTGCAAATGTCGAGGAAGCAGCTTTTCCACCAGCTCTACAGGCCAGCGCTCCAGGGCTTCCGGGAGCACTGTATGGTTGGTGTAGGCAAAGGTCTTCTGGGTGATCTCCCATGCCTGCGGGGAGAGGGAGGCTCAGTGCTTGCCTCTGCAGGAAAGGCGGGCTGCAGGTGTGCCCCATCCTGCAGGCCAAACACTTCCTCAACTCCTGCCCGTCAGCAACAGGACAATTCTATCTGCATGTATACAGTCAGACACAATTCCGCTAGGTTCCTGGATGGTCCAGGTAATGGGAACATGTTTTTTTTTGGGGGGGGGGAGCGGGAGGAAAAGCAGTAAATTGTCTGATAAGATTTAGGACAGCATATGCTGATAAATCTTCTCTAGTATCCTAACTTGTCTTTCATTTATTAAACAAACAAAACTTGAGGAATAAAACTTCAGTAATGTTCTGAGAAAGTACCAAGTATGTTTAAAATCGGTGGAGACACCTTCAGTTAGCTGTATTCTGAGGCTAGAGAGTTTAATTTCGAATCCTTTTAGACACAAAAATGGCAAACACAATATAAGCCTTAATATAGCCACTGAGCTGTGTCCCATTAGCAATGTGTTTATTTATTTCTTAGTCTTACTCCCTGTAAAGCAGTAAGAGCTGAGACATGTCAGCGCCAGGCCAAAGTTTACCTTTAATTGTTGGAAGTTAGCAACAGTGACTTATTTTGAAACACTGTGAAAGGCGCTTTGGGCAGAATCTCTTAAGCACAGATATTCTGGCCAGTCAAAGGAAAAAGAAGCCAAAGCATCCGGACCTTGGACCAGGGCAATTTTTCAATGTCCACAAAAATCCTCATCAGCTCGGGGATGGCGAGCGCAGGGTGAGTGTCGTTCAGCTGGATGGCAACCTGCAAGGGGAAAACCGACGTGAAGGTCACCGACGGCCCAGGCCCTTGTTCTCATCCATGCCTCACACGTGCACCAAACAAAACGTCTGCCCTCTACGGAAGGCTTTAAGTATACTGTAGCTACTCAGTTTTTTTTTTTAATTGAAGTATAGTTGATTTAAAATATTGTGTTAGTTTCAGGTGTACAGCATAGTGATTCAGTTATATATAAATATTCTCAGATTGTTTTCCATTATAGGTAAGTAAATTTCCTGGGCTACACAGGAAATCCTTGTTGCTTATCTATTTTATGTATAGCAGTGTGTATCTGTTAATCACATACTCCTAGCTTGCCTCCCTCCACCCCCTTTGGTAACCACAAGCTTGTTTTCTATGTCTGTGAGTCTGTTTCTGATTGGTATATAGACACTCAGATTTCTTTTAGCATGGAGACAGAGGAGTAAATCTGATGGAAGTCCTGATGCCCTCAGTTGTTCCCGCCTGCGTTCAGGCTGAGTACTCGCCTGATCTGGGAAGGCATCAAACGCAGTTTCGGCACTCCTGCTGGACCCAAGCTTAGAGGCTTTGAAACGTCGGATGACATCTTGCAAGGTAGCAGCCACCACAAAGTACTCCTGCTTCAGTCTCAGCTCCTTCCCTTCAAAAAACTTCAAGCCAGAGAGACTGAGTGAGAGGGCTCACATTGCTAGGAGTGGCCAGAACATGGGTGGCGTCCCCTAGCAGGGGACTTTAAGGCTAAAGCCCATGGGATGTCTGGTGGAAGCTGGCAGGTTGAATGCCAAGCATCAGCCTCCTGAAACTCCACTAAAATGACAGTAAAGGGATTGACAAAAGGCATGATAAAGGATGAAGGGAATGGAGAGAAGACAACAGCAACAACTTTTCAGAAGCTGAAAAACAGATGGATAAATGGTAAACCGAACCAGAAGATCCAGGAAAGCTGCATCCTGACCTGGTAGTGGAGAAAAACCAAAGGAACAACCCAGTGTGTACACTGAAGCTCCCAAAAGGCCCAAGAAGTGTCAGCATTGGGTGCCTCCAGAAGTAGGGGTGAAGAGGGGGAAAAGGTTAGTGGGGAGCCTAAGAAGCAGTTGGCCTCAGACCTCCTCTCCAATTCCCTCAACTGGACAATCTCCTTTGCCAACTCAGGCAGAAGCTGGAGGTCTGTTCTCTGGAGATGGTATAACAGGGGTCTCTGGACTGGAGGGCAGGAGGTAAAGTGGGAGGCAGGGGTACCATCCCATACTAAAAATGGGGGAAGAGGCTCAGTGAAAGTTTATGTACTAAATACTGATGCTTTCAGTCTTCTCTCCCAACTGAATTTGAGAACACAGGCAGCCAGTGTTAATTCCACCAGGAGAGAAGCTGCAAGCGTCTTCTCTAGGGAATTCAACCAGCACAGGAGGGAGGACCTAAAGACATGGACATGAGGAACTCCACCAGGAAGCAGCCCCAGCAGGTCACAGGTGAGGGAAACCAAATAGATAAATCCCAAACAAGTGTACAGAGCTCCCCAAAACTTGTTGGTACCTTTCTCTTAAGTTTCAGTGGGCAGCTAAGGACCATTAGACAGCTAAGAAAAACTTCTAAAACATGTTAAAATAATAAAAGCCAACTTAGAGGTAACAGAGATTAGAGAAAAGAATGATTATAAGAATACTACCGGTATCCTCAGATAGATTAGATATTGTATTCAAGAAATACGAATAAGATGCTTCAAGAAAATATCTAGAGCAAAAAAAGATTACGTGGAAATTAAAACATGACAGCCAAAGTGAAAAACCCAATAGGAAGATTGGAAGAGAGAGTTGTGATTGCCCAAAACGTGAGCAGGAAGACAAAGAGATGATAAATAAAAGAAAAAAGGTAAGAAGACTAAAGAACCAGTTGAGGATGTTTAACAATTCCAGACTGTTTGTCAGAGAGCTGTAGTCCTGTGCCCCCAGACTGAAAGGGTACCCAGGCGTGATAAGTGAAAGCAGACTTACACCAAAGCACACCCCCCAAAACTTTTAGTACACTCGGAGAGAGGGGTTTTGGAGAGGGACAGAGGGAGGGGGAGAGGGAGACTAGAAGCTTTCAAAGGGGGAAAAAAGCAGAATTCAAACAAAAGATCAAGAATCCAATTGCACTGTACTTTTCGGCAACACCAACAACTAGGAGATTAAAAAAAAAAAACTTTGAGTCTTCAGTATCCAGGCAAACTCCCAATGAGAGGGAAAAATAAAGACATTTTCCAACATGCAAGGTCTCAAAAAAACTGACCTCACTTGCACCCTTTCCTAGGAAGCCCCAGGCATGTGTACTACCAAAACAAGGGAGCAAACCAAGACGTGGGATCCTGGAAACAAATGATCCCCGAGAGTATATGAGCACAGACGTCCTCAGAACAATGGGAAACGTAGATCCCAGGATGACAGCGGAGCAGCCAACCAGAAGAGATCCAGAAGAGACTTCAAGAAGACTGAGTCAACAGAATACCTAAGGTGTTTGAATATATTGAGAGGAAATTTCTACGACTGGGGTAGAGTGTAGGCTAAATTAGGGAAAAGTACTCAGAAAACCAAGCAAACAAACAAAACAATGATTAACTCCAGGAAAGGAGAACATTTTAAGGAAAGGAAAAATAATCAAGAGACGATGACATGTATTGTGCACAGATCAGCTGTCTGTAGCACTGACAGCGTCATAATAATGTAAACACTAGCTGAAGAGCTAGTGCAAATCACCATGTAATTATGTTGAGAGAGTGGGCATAGAAAACGTGTTTTTGTGGTGGGGGTGGAAGTCTACGGGAGGAAGGGAGCTAAACTCTCATCTTCAGTAGCGGGGAGTCAATATTGTAAAAAGAGGAAATCACGAAGCAGCAGTAACAGCATGTTGTTAGAAATATGGAGGTTAAGTATCCAGGAAAGCAATTCAAAGCAAGGGGATGTAGTTGCTTTGGGGAAGTGGGAAATAGGAGACTGATTTTATAGTAAGCCTCAGAGAGCTGCTTTTCTCTTTAAACTATGTGCAGGTACAACTTTGATAAAAGTTTAAAAACCAAAAGAAAAATTTAAAGTCATTAATAGGAAACTGTCTGGATTGATATTACCAATGGGAATTTATAGGTGGTAGAATTCGGAATTTTTTTTTTTACTTGGTAGTTTTTTATATTGCTTATATTTCTTTTTCTAATAGCATGTTTCATAGTAAAAAATATAATGAAATCATTATTCTAAAAAAAGCACATGAATCCATCCACAATGAATTTAAATGTTTATTGAGTTAGGGAATTTTTAATGTGCTAGAAATAAATGATTAATTAAACAATCACTGACCTCAGTTAAGTTCAAACTACTGGGGAGAGACAGATGTATAATCAAGGCTTGAAATCAAACAAGACAGTTTTTAAAAACATTTATGTTGTATTTAAGTGTATACACAGTACTTTGGGGACCTGAATACTCAGGTGATTTCTTTATCTGAGCCCTGAAAGCTAAGTAGGAATTTGAGGTGAGCGCAGAGGGCCAGAGTATTCCCTGCACGCAGAGGAAACCTGGGCAAAGCATGGAGGTTAGAAAGAACAGGGCAAATAATCCTCTACAGCTGGGACCTATTGCTAGGGCAAGATCACAGAGGATGTGTCAGAACTGATGACCACATAGATGAAGATACACCTACAATTCTGTACTTCTCTTAGGGGTAAGCAAAAGCCTTAAAGAATTTTAAGCAAGGAAAAAAAAAATCTCATTAGTTGCAGAGTGAGGACAGGGGGCGAGACTCTTGGAAGACAGACAAATAGGGCTATGGCCAAGTTGGGGAGAGGGAATGAGTCTGTTCTTGTGGTTACAGTACGAAAAAGATTTATCAACTTCTACTTAAAAACAAGCATAACTCTGAGAGCTACCTTTTCTGCCCAATGCATTTAGTCAACTTTGCACCCCATGCTAACCTAGTATGTGTTATCAATTGTTGTGGATGATTATTTCCAAGTAAAGTTAGGTTTGGGCCCTACTGAAGACAGGAGGATGAATTTCAAGCCCCTTCTAGTTAAACAATCCTGCAGGCTTGGGTTTGGCTAGGCAGTGTGGCCCCAGTCTTGGAAGGATTCTTACTTTAATTGACCTTGAAACAGAACAGTCTTTTGCTTTTGAGTTACAGATTTCTTTTAAGGTACTGAAGCCACATCGTTTCTCCCAAAGGAAAAATAACACATACCATTAAGTTCCTAAAAATGCTGCAGCAAATCCACTTAATCCTCCTTGGAGATGGATTTAACACTGAGTGGACATCTGGTCTTAGGATCATTTATGTCCTAGTCCCCAAGATCCTTGTTTTGTGGACATCTTTGTGGAGCAGAGTACTAGTTTGGTTACTTCTGAGATTATTATTTAAAAGAAAAATCATTATAGCGTCCAGAAAATTATTTTACTCATGGAGAAGTTAGAGCTAAGTATGTTTTAACCCACTAAGAATCCATAACGTGGGCTTCCCTGGTGGCGCAGTGGTTGAGAGTCCGCCTGCCGATGCAGGGGACACGGGTTCGTGCCCCAGTCCGGGAAGATCCCACATGCCGCAGAGCGGCTGGGCCCATGAGCCATGGCCGCTGAGCCTGCGCATCCGGAGCTTGTGCTCCGCAACGGGAGAGGCCACAACAGTGAGAGGCCCGCATACGGCAAAAAAAAAAAAAATCCGTAACAGTCATCTGAGATCCAGTTCCAAGTGTTTTTTTTTTTTCTTAAACTAAGTTATTTTTCGTGTAAACTTTGGAATGATCACCTATAAGAAAAAGTTTAATGAGATAAATAAGTGGCATAAGAAACAAGTGTCTGCTCCTGGGTCTATTCTGAGGTCCATGACCCCACCTTGCCTTGGGTCAGAGGAGACCCATGAGTGAGGGGAAGAGGACAGGCAAGACACCTCCAGGGACTTCTGATGCTGTGGATGAAATTTCTGTTTGGAAAGGAAGGAGTGCTTCACCTGTACTGCACCTCATCTTTTATAGCCAGGTTTTGTTTTGAAATACATGTACAGAGCCTCCCAATTAGTGATGGGGTCACTAATCAAGGGCGAAACACCAATTCTGACTTCATGAATTGTACAAATTCGTTTTCCTTACATGGGTGGGAGGGGAAATCTACACAAGTCAGGAAGAGATATGGTGATTATTCCTCACTGAAGGAAAAACCCCAGTATTAAGTATGTGCTTTATGGCTACTGAATAGGTGCTTCTGAAATAAGCTGCTTCTGTTTCCACTGAGAAAGCAAGCTTGATCACTCACATTATCATTGGGATAGAGGACCCGGGAGATGTTCTCGGCCAGATTCCGGTCCAGCACAGCCTGAATGTAGTCTCCAACGTTAACTGAGGGAAACGTTAGAAAAATGAATAAACAGACGAGCCAACCACTGTTTTCAGAAGCCCCCTGATCTCACCTGATGCTTGTTGGGTACCATGTGGGATTCCTAAAAATCCAAAGAGATTTCAGCAAACCTTCATGCTGTGATTCACATGACAGTCTAGACTGAAGGACTGATTTAACCATGTGCCCCATACCTGCTCCATATAATGCTTTAGTCACTAAAGAGTTTGGATCAGAAACTCAGTGCAACTTGGCTCTAATTATTGGACAGAAAGATTAAAGGTACACATGAGGAAAGGGAGCCCACGCTGTACTCACAGTCTCTGAGGTTAAAGTCATTGGGTGCGCGAGCGGACCAGAGGCGCATGGTGTTGACCGTGTTGTTCAGATATCCAGGCACCGGGGTGTCATATGGAAGAGCAAGGACCACCTGCGGGGTGAAACCAAAGCAGCTACTTACTGTTACCCATGTGGATGGAGGAGGTTGAACAGAGGTGGGAGACAGCAGCTGGAATTTGGTTCCTGGCTCCATCACCAACTCAAACTGTATGATCCCTAAACCAAGCTAAGGGTCCCAAGGCTGGAGGTGGTATTAGGGGCCATGTCGGTCCTTCTCCCACTTGGAACAATATGGATGGCTGGAATGACCCAGACAGATGGTCCCAGATGGTCCTCCACATCATTTCCACGCTGACTTCCCTTTGTGTCCCTTGCCCTGATCTGGACACAGATCTTTCATGTTTCAAGATCAAGCCATTGCTCTAAAGATAGCAAAATATGATGTGCAAAGTGGTAAATGTGAATCTGTACCCATTAAAAAACAGTAATCAAGACAAGTTTCATGTAGGCTATTCAATGATCTGATTTCAAATATGGTGAAAATTAGCAGAATAGGAAATTTATGAAGATAAATATTACATATGATGTTTAAAATGCTATGCTGGATTTTTCAAAGTTGCACGAAGAAGAGTTATTTTAGTGATCTAACAAATAAGCTGATAATTAGCTGAGATGTGTCTAAGAGGTGAGCTTTGGAAAATTTAGCTCAGTATTTGTGACAGTCATGGAAATAGAGAAGAACGGGAAGATGAACCATGTTTCACATGAATTTAAAATTTATGTGGGAGAAGACAATTTTCTATTCCCTGCCTCATCAGAATCAAGCTCTAAGGAAGGGGAATGACAGATGGATTGAATTGGAGGATGCTAGAGATCATCTAGTGCAACTTAAGGTGTTTTGGATATGAGGGGAATGAAGCTGCGAGAGAAGTGACTTACCCAAGGTCATAGTCAGTGGTAGTGTTGAAACCTAACCACAGATCTCTTTAATTTGGTCTGCTGAATTATGAAGGAATGAAACACTCTAGCCTATATCAATCAGTCACATACATTCAGTCATGCTTTCATGAACATCATAACCACAGAGTAATAAATCACATTTATGTGAATATCTTTTACTAGGAAATAAAGATCTCTGGAGTTCTAAGAGCAAGTTGTGGTCAATCAGGAGAAGTCACTTACAGAGTGGGACTCTGAGTCTGGGTCCAAACATGACTTGTCCTTCTGACCCTCAAAGCATAATTGAGGCAGCTGGGGAAGCACATGGCTTGGAGGTCCCTTTAGAGAACTTCAGGGAGAAGTTGCCACCTCAGAGCTCACACGAGGCTGTGCTTTCTTTGGGATGCTCCCATCGTGGTGGGAGCATGAGAGCCAGGACTCCCCTCATGAGCAATGTCCCATCAGCCTGGGCACTTGTTCAGAGATGCACTGCAGTGTGAGGCTCCTTCCTGAGAATCCTTCTTTCCCTCTCTCTCTTCACAGGTGTCACACCTGCGTTGCAGTCTGAACGACTTCCCCCCTCCTCCAGTCCCCTTTCCCTTTATCTTTCACAGGCATTTCTGCAATAGATCACTTGTACTTCTAATTCTCCCTTCTGTCTGCTTCCCAGAGGACCTGAACTGACACAAGAAATGAAACAAGTAACTCAGTTTACTGGAAGCCTTCACAGCAGGCATACATGAGGTCTGACCTCACTAGCTACAAATCTGGGGCTGATCAGGCAGTGGCATCAATCCATAAAATTCTGCACAGGTTGGGTCAGCTCACCCTTTATTACATCTGCCCCATAAACTTGCCTTTGTGGGCACAGAAAAACACACTCTCCCTAATTGAATTTCTGGATGTATTATGAAAATGTCTAGAGGTGCTTTGTAAATATATCATCAGGTCATCATAAGGTCATCAGTGGGACTTACGAAGTAAACAGAATGCTTCCAGGATTGGGAGTATAACCTGCGTACGTTTAAACAGATCAGAAGCCACTGGAAGTTTTAGACACCAAATACTTGCTAGATTAATACCCAAAACATGTGAGAATTCTTTAGGCATATTAACAATTGATTTGTTGCAGTTCTTATGGTCATATTTGTAATCAACTGCAACTCAGTTGTGGTCTATTGTTTAACCAAAATAAAAGGGGAGTGGTGGATAGAGGGAAACATCTTGAAATTACAGTATTAGTTTCTTCCTTATTATATATAATGACCGATTTTAGCTTCTAATCCATTATTTCATATGCTGAAAAAATCACGTTCAGATAGGAAAAACTTTAAAAGCAGTCTTTCTTTTGTGAACTGTGAATAGCCTTGCATGGATTAGCAGAATAAAGCATCAGCTTAGAAGTCCACTATAACATGGGTCTAGAGTCCGCAAACAAACTGCATTTAGCATTATGATACTGAATTTTGTTCCTGATTTTGCCATATAAGAACAGCATTTCCTTGGTCTTTACCATTTTCTTTAAGCTTTTAAAGTGGCCAGTGAGACATCTTTTCTGGCCTAAGACTATATTTACTAAACAGATATCTCAAGTGGAGCCTCCAGTGGTTGGACAGTGCGATCCAGTAGTTCTTAGGGGTTATTTATCAGGACGTATGAAGACAGCAAAGCACAAACCACCCCTAGAGGAGCTGAAAAGTAAATTGTTCAGTAGCAGGGTAACACTCGAATGTGGTGGCAGGATAAATACACGGCCGTGAATTAAGCACACTTGGACCGACACCAGCATTATTTCTCTAGAAGTGATTTGGCACACAGTAACAGAGTGCATTTTGCAATATTTTGCCTTGTTTTTCTTGACTTTGTAATGAAGAAGAACTCTGGTAATCCTTTGAATAAATACTTCACTTTAAAAATATTTACCCCTTAGAATTTACAAGTCAATGTACATATGGCAGTGGGGTGAGGAATGACATTTAACTTTATTCAATCTTGGTTTCAACAGCTTTATATAAAACTGGAGAGCTAAGCATGCTGGGATTATAGAATTGATTAATTTCTTATAAACCAGATGACAAAATGACCCTGGTAAGTCACTTGACCTTGGGGAAGTCACTTCTCTCTTGGCCTCAGCTCCCTGGTCTCCAAAATGAGTGGGTTCACCAAGAGACGTAACAGATTTATTTATAAAAATATACTTTATTATTCAATATACAACACACTATACTCAACACCACATACACGTCACACGCTGTGCCATCCTCTATACAATGCTCAGCGCGAGGACTCTCAGAATACCTGCGTGTTGATCCACTTGGTTCCGGCCTCTGTGTGCTCTACGTTCCCGTAGAAGTGAACAGGCAGCATGAACTCGGGGCGGGCCTTCTCCCAGGGGTTTCCGTGCCTGAGCCAGTCATCTGCCTCTTCTATCTGCAAAAAGGACATGGCTTAGAATTTGTTTTTCAGGAGCGGTGGACCTAGCCCTTCAATTATATCAAATTAAAAATATTTGGGGGGACTTCCCTGGTGGTGCAGTGGTTAAGAATCCGCCTGCCGATTCAGGGGACACAGGTTCGGTCCCTGGTCCACGAAGATCCCACGTGCCTCGGAGCAACTAAGCCCGCGAGCCACAACTACTGAGCCCATGTGCCACAACTACTGAGCCTGCGCTCTAGAGCCCGTGAGCGGCAACCACGGAAGCCCATGCGCCTAGAGCCCGTGCTCTGCAACCAGAGAAGCCACCGCAATAAGAAGCCCGCGCACCGCAACGAAGAGTAGCCCCTACTCGCCACAACTAGAGGAAGCCCGTGTGCAGCAACAAAGATCCAACGCAGCCAAATAAATAAATTTATAAAAATATATATATATATTTTTGACTGAATCAACTCAAGAATACTGTTTTGGCAAGAAAGATGTTGGTTCTGTCAATTTCAGTTCATCTTTGTTATTGTCGTACAGCCTAAATCAACAACAATACTGGCTAGTATTGCTCTAAATGTTTTATACATATTATTGCATTTAATCCTCATAGCAAATATAGGAGGGATCTATGGCTTCTCCCTTTGTTAAGGAAATTGTAACTTGCTCAAAGTTGCACGGATAGTAAATGATACAGGTAAGATTTGATGGTAGGTCTGTGAGTTCTAAAGCCTGTGTCTTAACATCTGTGAATCCAATTGTCTAGCTTGAGGGAAAGAGAGAGGCTTCCCAGGGATGTTTATTGTTGGATACCTGGACCTGATGGGTCCTACATTATGGTTTCTGTCAAGAGCTTTGTGCCTTGAAAGCACAGAATCGGTTGAGAAAAACTACTCATAGAAAGCTCCCTTAATAAGGCTTATTTCAGTATAGGCACAGAACACTATTACTTTTTTTTTCATTTTTTAATTTGTAGTATAGTTGATTTACAATATTGTGTTAGTTTCAGGTGTACAGCATAGTGTTTCAGTATTTTTGCAGATTATATTCCATTATAGGTTATTATAAGATAATAGGTATACTTTCCTGTGTTATACAGTATATCCTTGTTGCTTATCTATTTTATACATAGTAGTTTGTTAATACCATATCCCTAATTTGTCCCTCCCCCCGTTCCTTCTCCCCTTTGGTAACCACAAATTTGTTTTCTATATCTGTGAGTCTGTTTCTGTGCTGCATATGCATTCATTTGTATTATTTTTTAGATTCTACATATAAGTGATAACGTATAGTATTTGTCTTTCTCTGTGTGACTTATTTCACTAAGCATAATATTATCTAGGTCCATCCATGTTGCTGCAAGTGGCAGTATTTAATTCATTTTTTATTGCTGAGTAATATTCCATTGCATATATATACACCACATCTTCTTTATCCATTCATCTGTTGATGGGCACTTGGGTTGCTTCCATGCCTTGACAATTGTAAACAGTGCTTCTATGAACACTGGGGTGCATGTATCTTTTTGAATTAGCGTTTTCATTTTTTCCAGATATATACCCAGGAATGGAATTGCTGGACCATATAGTAGTTCTATTTTTAGTTTTTTAAGGAACGTCCATACTTATTTCCATAGTGGCTGCACCAATTTACATTCCCATCAACAGAACACATTTTGTAGTCTTTGTTTAATTGAATCCTTATGGAATTTTGATCTGATAATGATTATTTATTTATTTATTTGGTCATGCCAGGTCTTAGTTGCAGCATGTGTGCTCCTTTGTTGCAGCCGGGGTGGGTGGGGGGGCTTCTTAGTTGCAGCTCACCAGCTCCTTAGTTGCGGCATGCGAACTCTTAGTTGCAGCACGCATGTGGGATCTAGTTCCCTGACCAGGGCTGGAACCCGAGCCCCCTGCATTGGGAGCGTGGAGTCTTAACCACTGCACCACCAGGGAAGTCCCATGAACTATTATTTCTAATTCGTTTTGAAAATGACATATACTAAAATGTAAGGAATTTCTTTTATTGACAATTACAACATTTTCCCATGTATTTATGTCAATTTATAACAAAATATTTCTCATAAAAATTTAAAAATCTAATTTGTATTTAGGGTATCCTGGACATCAAATGCATTTTGTTTTCTATAAAGAAACAAATAAAAATGCCAAAACAAGAACAAAAGACACATGGTGGGGCTGGGGTTGCATTTTTAAAGTAAAGGTGTTATGAGTGAAACCTTTAAAATATTCCATATACATTAAAAAATGCAATCGTGTTCTGGCAAGAAGGGAGGGGTAAGGTTTTTAGTACAAAGCTCCCTTGTCAATGAGATTACCCCCAATATGGTTATTTTACCTACCTGATTCCTCATCCTTCCCTCTTAGAAAACTCAGCTTTAGTTTAAAAAGATATTAATGATGAATTATGACACAATGCTGGATCCTTCATGATCACCTATGTATGAGTTCAGTGTCTGCCCCAGGCACAGTGTGGAGAGAGGCAAACAAACACAGCTATCTTTTGAGATATTAGACAAAACATTAATGTCAACAACCAGACAAGCAAACACACATCCATTTATTCAAACATTGATCATATTGGGAATGCTAGTAAGCTGCCCATTAACAAGAGCTACCAGCATCATGATGAATGAAAAGGGGACACACAGAAACAACATCTTCGGATAGAAGGTCTGGAATTAGAGAGCTGCAGGAGGGTGTAGCAGATGCAGGATGAAGCCTAGGGAAGGCTGGACCTAGATGTGAGCTAATCAGTACAATGCACCTTGTTAAAATGCAGAGTCTCAGGCAGTCTGGGGAGGGGTCTTAAATTTTCCATTTAAAAATTTGCATCTTGGGGCTTCCCTGGTGGCGCAGTAGTTGAGAGTCCGCCTGCCAATGCGTGGGATACAGGTTTGTGCCCTGGTCCGGGAAGATTCCACATGCCGCGGAGCGGCTGGGCCCGTGAGCCATGGCAGCTAAGCCTGTGCGTCCAGAGCCTGTGCTCCGCAAGGGGAGAGGCCACAACAGTGAGAGGCTCGCGTACCGCAAAAAAAAAAAAATTGCATCTTAACATGTAGCCAGCGGGTACACGGTGCAGCAGGGAGCTACACAGCGATACAAAGTCAGGAACTGTAATTCAGAATTGAGACTTCGGCTATCCCATTCATAAAGAGAACAAAAATACAATTAAAATTTAACAAGGAAAGGATTGAATTTTATCAGTTGATAAGAAATTGGTTAAGTTAGAGTCCTCTAGCTCGTGTTAATAACTAGAAACTCTATGAAAAATAAATGAGGATATGCACAAAGATCAAACATTCTGACTTACAAAACACTTCACGCTGCACTTAGGCAAGAGCAGTGTTCTGGGTTTCAAATTACTGGTCAATGTGAACACACAATGCTTCCTGTAACAGGAAAGAACCTTACGGCCTATCTGCCTCACTTCAGCATTCAGAACTGTTGTAAAATACACCTTAAGTTTTTACATGAACCAGGAGGACGAGGAGGCAGAAACAGCATTCCTCTCGAAAATTATGTCCACAGGTGAGCTGACAAGATATTTTCTGCTGCAAAATGCAGCAGAAGCAGACTCTTCTCCCCTCAAGCACTGTGAAATGCCCGTACAAGAGAGGCTGAACACTGGGCTTCCCACCACTGGCCGGCCCCTCCTGGCCTCCTTTGCAAATCAGAAGCTGCATTTGCTCTTTTGAGGACATGCTGTTAAGCAACAAGGGACTAGTCAGCCAGTCACTCTCAATGTTGGTCTGATTTTTCCTGCCAAATAATGGCTGGTTTTCATTTCACTGGGTTAACAAGTTCTGGAGGAGAACAGGACTCCTAGCTTGCTGCTCTTTATTGAGTCTCTTCCTGATTTTGGCAAGAAATCAGCCAACACTTCCCTCAGTTATGCAAAGCCTGTTTTTAAGGTAAATTGAAAAATAGATATTTCATAAAAGCAAGCTGGTCTGAGCAGATCAGAGGAGAAAGAGAGAACTGCCTCCAGCCACCCCAGCTCAATCCACAGAGGCTGCGGGATGGTGATAAACCTCCTTTCTATCTTGCTTTCTTCCAACAAATCAACAAACTGGTCTGTAAATTTAGATTTCCACGTTAGCAGTGATCCCTGAGTGCACTAGCTTGCTGAGCCATATGAAGGGCAGGGGCCAGACGGGAGGAGAGCTTCCATTTATATACAAGTGGGCTGTGTGGATCTGAACATCCCAGATGAAAAGGAGCTGAGACAAAGCAAGCAGGAGACTGTGGCGTGGGGAGCAGCGTGCCCGCCTGGGTGGTGGTGGCAGTGGTGGTGTGTGTGTGGGGGGATGCATGGCAGCTGGATCTGGGGTCTTCCTAGAGAGATTACTCGGTGGGATCTATTCCAGCCAGCATGGAAGCAGAGGTCAGCTCAGGGCCTCTGTGAGTGACTGAATTCGAAGAAACGCTTTTCCCCTCAACTGTGGGATACACGGGACATGAAGAACCAGTGAGCAACCAACAGGAGTTGTCAACAAACTTTGCTTTCTGATGGTACCAGTCATTGGTAAATGTTTCTGGGGAACACCAGGAATTCAACAATGGCCAGGAGAGGGAGGCTTGCTGGGTAATGTGAACTGTGCATGGCTAGGTATAGCAGGGTTCTAAGAGAAAGAATGTTCCAGCAGACTGCTTGATTCAACCCTGAGATTTCTACTAACAGCGTCTTTCCACTCAGAACTTTAGTGTGTGACTGTTTAACTTGAGGCTGTCGCAACTGCCTTTCCCCCTCTTCCTCCCAGTGGCCAGTCATTTTCAGAGGACTATCCTGAGAAGGTTTCAATGATCCCCATTAGAGTTCGAGGTAAGTCAAGCATTTGAGCAATAAAATTGTTTTCCTTGGGGGGGGTGGGGTGGAGTTCACAACACACACTTTATTACTGCAAATCTTCCTTGAAGAGAGCCTTCAAAAACTGAAAGTCTATCAACCTTTAAAAATCTTCCTAGTTTGTGCAATTTTCATCAGCCTTCTCCATTGTAAGAGCAACCATGTAGCTGATGTGAGTAGAGCAGTGACCATGCCCCCAAAAGGCATTCTGCTTTCCTGGAAGATATTTTTTGTTTTTCACGGAAACAGTTTCTTTTTTATGTTTGCTTTTTAAAATCCCATCCCAGTGAACAATGGCTATGGTAGATAAAATTAGGTGTCCTTCTGACTCAATTTCAGTTGTAATGAAAGAAGTGATGATGTAGTAAAGCTAGCTTAGCTTTGGAGACTAGCAAAAGCCACTTGGTCTCTCTTTTTCCTTTAAAAACACTAGAATATATACTTCTTGGGTCTCACAGGAGACAAGGGATGGTTTCCTGAAATAAGGCCATTTAAAAGTAGCAAAGGTCATAGGTGGGATTAATAAAGAGTGACCTTTCATAAGACTTTGGGGGAAAATGCACTTGAAAGACAATTTTTTGAGACTGATCTGCTGAGTTAAAAAAAATCTTTCACAGAAAAGTAAGAAATAAAATCCTTAAACATCCTGGGGTATAATGAGTACCATACAGGATACAAAGACTGAGAAAGGATACCATGTCCATGTATTGCTTGGTCAGGTTGTGTTAAAATCTTGGTCCAACTGGAAATGCCTGCCAAGCTAGGCTTCTCACCATGTAGCCCTAGATTACTTCACTGTGGAAGGGAACCAATTATTATTTTTGTTTGTTTGTTTGTTTTTTTGTTTGTTTTTTTTTTTTGGTACGCGGGCCTCTCACTGTTGTGGCCTCTCCCGTTGCGGAGCACA